AATGCACAAACTTCTGTTTTCTGAAGATTAAACTGGACTAGTCTTAGTCGCTCCCAATCCGAGGCTTCATATAGCAAAGACTCGACTTCAGATAAAAGTTTATTCCGTTACTCGGCGACTTTTTCCCTAGAAATGTTGACACGGTCGATGTATAGAGCATCACCAGAGCTTTTATCCACATAGCAATGATGGTTCTCCACATATCATTAATATGCAGAAGAAAAGCTTTTGTAGTACGTTAATAGTACACAGCCTTTTGAAACGCCATCATTATTATGCTTGTAATCGGAGCACGCACCGTCTACTACGACCTTTATGCTGCAATAAAGCTGGTAATCCAATTGAACAATTTTTTGGAAAGCCCATAGGTAGGAACCTTTGTAAGAAGCGCTTTGTGCCAGGCCCGATCGAAGACCTTCCCAATGTCTAAACTAACGGCCAATGCGTTCCCCTTGAACAATACTGCCTCCGCCCGTCCATAAGTCAGGTAGACCAGAAGATCACCAGCTGATAAACCCCCTATGAAAACCACAATCCTCAAGAAATCACATAAGTTGGCAGTTTGTATGCCTTGAAATGGATTCAATTATTTTGGAGGACAATAAGATGATGGCGACAGGCCTGTATTTGGACGGATCTGAGTGGTTGCATTTTTTAGGGATCGGGTGGGCGAAAGCCGTCTTCTATGATTTCGGGACTACGCCTAGGAATAGACATACCGGAAAAGACAAGTTGGAACTGGTGCCAACTCTGGAGCACACTTCTTCAGCACTATTGGGTGAATTCCGTCAGGCCCACTCGACTTGTGGATATCAAGAGAGAGGAGTGCTTTTCGAAATGAGCGCTGCGTGAACCACTCATCTGGTTCGGTCGTTGAGAGTCGAGTTGGATGCAAAGAAAGAGCAGAGCAGATTGGTTTTTTTCATTTGCGGTATGGGCTAGTGAGTCCTCGTCCTTGGCAAGACATTAGACTAACTGCCTGACATCTGCCTCTGACGGGCACCACACGAGAAGGAATAAAAAGTTCCATACACTTAAGTACCACACCAGCAAAAGAATAAGCCACAATTTTGGGATCGTACTCGTCGTAACTGTGAGTTTGGTAAGTTTGTGTTTGCTTATAGAGCCGTTATAAATAAATTATCCATAGGAAATTGGGCCCTCCCCTCGGTTGCTCGTCGAGTTGGATTACTGATAGGCCCTAATCCTGTCAACTAATATTGTCGGGACAACTGAGGGCCGTAACAGCTATGTCAGTCACTCTGGTTCTACTGCGGATATTCTCATTTCTAAGTTTATCACGCAGATAAACCCCGAGAACAGCCCTCTCCAGCTCGCTGAGTGACTTTGAGCATCCTCATACCGCCAGCAGTGAAAGACCACGTCTCGGTTCCGTAGGTCATCACTGGCAACACGAACTGATTCTACACTTTAGTTTTCAGGTTTTGAGGTATACCTGACGAGAAGATGTGTCGTAATTTCCCGAACGCTGCCCAGCCAGTCGGCCGGTCTCGGTCGAAGTTGGACTTACTTAATCGGACTATTTGTCCCTGGTAAACGTACTCGTCAACAACTTCGGGCTTATTGCTCCCAACAACTACGTTTATAGGTGTGATATGGACATTAAACATGATCTTTGTTTTGTCCAGGTTCATCTTAAGACCTATACGTTGGGAGGCAATGTTGAGGACATTGAGCATAGTGCTGAAGTCCTCCAGCGATTCTGCCATAAGGACTATATCGTCAGCAAATCGAAGGTGAGTTATGTACTCGCCATTGATGTTAATACTGTTACGCGCCTAAGTTAACGTCTGGTACTTGGCACTAGCGCCATCTAGTGTCGGGGACCAGAGCGAGGAGGGCTTCCTGGCAAATTTCAATCTTGAACTTTCAACCAACAGCGCCTTATAGTATCGAACAGAAGAATTAAGCTTTATAGAAGCCCCACACTCGAACTTTCTGCGCCTGGTCTTTCGGCGCCTGTATTTACTGGAATATTCTGAATGTTTATCTTCTTGGATGGCGCGACAGAACCCTGCCTTTTGCTTCATAAATTGTGTGTGTTTCGAGAATCCTTTAAACTTAATTTTCTTTCTATTACTATTACTTTTGCGTCCCTGATGATGTCCACCTTTTTGTAATAGGGTTTCAGTTGCTTGAAATCGTAAAGACTCCAGTCTTCATCCAACTTATGTACTTTGCCGTGTTTAGTATAAATCTGTTGGTAAGTTTCTGGTTTTATGTTTATAGAATAGGGTGACAAACGAGCACACAGTCCACCTGATGGTAAGTGGTTGCTGCGGCCAAAGACATCTACATCTATTATCCATTAAAAATCAAAATGCAGATGCGTTGTCACCCGTGAGGACTGAGATGGAATGCCTCGTTTCCAGTAAAAAGGGTCTCCGGTTCTCTACACTCACCATACAAAATATATCAGCATTAAACCACTATTTCATGCTGGTATTCTGTGAGAGCGTGGTCCTTCCCCGGTTGAGCCGACCCATTCGTGCTACAAATATACTACTTATATAACTACAGCATGGCTCTACCACGTATAAAAAATGGTAAACCTATGGGTTCAAAATGAATGGTTTTTTCTTAGATCTTTTTAAATAATCTTTTCAACTCTGCCAAACACCCTATCAGCTGCCAAGAAGCTATGACCTCGCACAGGGAATGTTAAAACGATTTTAGCCACATTTGCCGAGGCGTAATTTTTTAGCCAAAACATTAACATATGCACTACGTGAGAGTTTTTTTTTGCCCTCCGCATCCATCAGCAAAAAGGCGCAAAACTTTAACTACCAATAAATATGCAGAATTCAGGTACGTTAAAAGAGCAGACGCTATTTCTGCAGATCGTTTTCTGGCCTGATTTTCTGTCCAAATAAAAAAAAATGTGGTTCTTTAGTAGGAATGTCTGTAACACAAAATGCATACAGTCCGATTTGCCTCAAATAAAAAGATTCCTGAATTCCTTTTTTATTTCCTTTTTGATTCCTTTGGAAGGCAGTGTATTTGTAGAAGGTCGAAGCAGATTGTCAAAGAATTTTCTAGGTTTGTTTTAACAAGTTCAAAAAATCTATAGCTCTTATTTTGTGAACACGAAGCCATACTTTTAGTGATTGAAGTTCTTGGGGATTTTTTTTCGATTTTTTGTTTATTTTTCAATACTTTACACGTGCTGCAGACATCGCATGATGGAGAGGAGAACCCAATATTAAAATCATTTTCAAAAACTCGTCGAAACATTGTTTCGGTCACTTTAAGATCATCATCAACGCCGGTATTGTACAATCCCCACAGTTTTCTTATGTTCAACTCGTAAAAAAGATAAGCATGCCTCGATTTTTTTCTATTATAACGTGATTCTTTAGCTGGCAATGCAGCCAGAAACTTTTCACACTGTCTTTTTTCTCTAAACTTTGAGCGCTTTTGCGATCGCCGCCTCTGTTGTCATGGGCGTTTTTCCTTCATATATTTTATTAGCAATGGTATTCACTCTGTGCTTCCCAAGACCTAAGGCAGCTAAGAAAAACTTCTTGCACACTTTAACAATACGTTTTGAAACTCTCAAAAAAAAAAAGAAAGTCACAAAGTATTTATTTCTCTGAGGTTTCAAAGATGTGGCCCTCGACCGTTCCCCCATGATTGGACATGGTGATATTAATCGCACTAGGTATATATCTTGTTCACTTTTGCTAGCTTTCTCATACAACAACTTACGGTTATATACAATTTCGTTAACTGTTAAAGTTTGGCATTTAAATTTCCCCTTTTTATGATCACAGACTGATGCAAAGTACAGAGCAAGAGGGTCATTATCTATATACCTAAAATAAAACGAATCAGGTTTGAATTGGAAAACATAACCTAAAATTTACAGTAATTTAGGTTACCAAATTTTAAATAACACTTACTTTGTATTCCTACTCTTTGAAGCAGCCCGTTCCTTTTTTTCCTTTTACGAGTGCCGTCATTGATATCAGCTACAGTTGACTCGTTTTATTCCATTTTAAAAAGCAAAACTTCAATTACAACCTTTCTACAACAATATTGTAACAGCTGATTTAACTTTTTTATTGAAAATAGTTGCCATAATTAAATAAGTGTTCCCACGTAAAATATTGGTTAATTTAAATGGACAAGTCACAGTTGAAAATCCATTTACATTAAAATACATGTCTCCTCGACCATTGTCCCATTTACGGCACTGAATCAGCAAGCTGTCCAATTGGGCCCAATAGATTCTAGTGGTCGAACTCATCGCTGAGACGTCGCTCCACTTAGACTTGGTAGCACGGGCCTTCATCCTTTCCAGAATCGGCTCGATGTCCGGATCTTCCTGCTGTGCATGTCGTAGGCTGTCCTTCCACTCGTTGCTGAGGTGGTCTGTCCTGAACATCCTCACGGATACCACTTCCTTACACTCTTGCCTAGTACAATGTTTGCAATTTTCAGGACAAGATTTTCTTGACAATGCATCTGCGTTACCATGAGATTTCCCGCTGCGATGTCTGATAGTAAAGTCGTATTCCTGCTGCTGCTGGGCGGTGATGTTAGCCGCACTTCCCTTCTGAGATCGTTCACCTTCCCCTTCTAGGGTTCGTTTAGGGCAGCTGGATCGAAGATGGCCCCTTCCCCACAGCCATAGCACCTAGGGCTGTATCCTTTATTGTGGTCGCGAACCGTAACTGCTGTAACCTCCATAGCGTGAGAGGAACGATGATCCTGCTACCGCCAGAAGGTACCGTTAGCTGCACTACCCTCTCGAGATCGATCAACTTCCCTTTCTACGGTTCGCTTAGGGCAGCTGGCTTGAAGATGGCCCCTTTCCCCACAGCCATAGCACCTAGGGCTGTATCCAATATTACGGTCGCGAGCTGCTGTAGCTGCTGCAATCTCCCTGACGCGATGGGAACGAAGATCCTGCCGTACGGCTTCTATCTCCGGTGCATGGGCTATGACGTTCTTAAGCGTCACGTGGTGCCCGAGCCTCACAGCAGCTCTGACTTCAAGGTCGCGGATGCCGTCGATGAATTTCTGCACCAGGTTCCCTTCAATGGGCGCAGGTACAGACCGATATGCTTTTCGCACCAGCTTTTCCACCTCTAGAGCCCACTGCTGCAGGTTTTCGTTCATGCACTGCACGCGATCTTCAATATGCGCACGAAAGACGTATTCCAGGTGAGCGTCGCCATATCTCGCCTCCAATGCCTCAAGGAGTTGCTCATAAGTCACTTCCTCACCAAGAGCTTCCAGAACTGTTAAAGCCTGGTCGCGTAGGCCTAGTGTAAGAGCAGTCATGGCCTGACTTTTATTCCAGCCGTTCGCCTTCATAACAGCCTCGAACTGGATTTTGTAGGCTGACCAAGAAGAAGTCCCGTCGAACGGCGGCACTTTGAACCCACGTAGCGAAGGTATTGTAGCTACTACGGGAGCTGTAATTCCATCCCCCAGTTTGAGATCGTCCAGCGTTTTCTTCACGTCAGCCATCACGTTGTCAACCCGATTGTTCATTTGTTGGATTCGGGTTTCAGCTATCGCGATTTGCGTTTCAGCTTCCGACAGGCGGTTGTCATGCTGAGCAACCCTATCCTTCACCTCCTTTATCTCCTTCCCGAAGGTAGCGTGAAGGTCCTTCATGAGGAGCATCTGCTCTTCCAACCGACGGGCATGTTCATCTTGTCGGCGGGCCTGTTCCTCCTGTCCGCACCGCAGCTGTTCTTCCAATCGGCGTGCCTGCTCCGCCTGCTGGCGGGCCTGTTTCTCCTGTCGGCGAGCCTGTTCCTGCAGTATCATCATGAGAGCACCTAAATTAGGTGCTGCAGATGTAGGAGCTACTGACGGGCCTGCAGCCGGCGGCTGGCCCTCTGATATCTGCGGCGTTGCACCACCAAATCTTCTTTGATCCGTCTCCTGCTGGTGTTGACTTCGAGTACGGACACCCTCCGTTTCCTCCTTAGGTAAAATCGGCATGATTTTATCCCACTTCTGACACCAATTGTTACGAGCTTAGGGTTCGGGATAATAAAAACTGCCGATTGAAATACCAAAATTTACACTTTTATTCCCGAACACCAATTAAAACCTAAAACACTAATAATTAACCACACTGATTCACTTTATTTCGCTCCGAAGCTTCGCTTGTCTCGCCAAATTCAATACTGCTCTGACCGCGTTTTGCAGCACCTTTAAATATACATTTTTCACCGAAACGTCCAGAATATTCAAGTAAATACGTACGCCAACCGACCAGGTGCAGAAAGTTCGAGTGTGGGGTTTTCCAGAAAGCTTAATTCTTCTGTTCGATACTAGATGGCGCTGTTGGTCGAAAGATTAGTCATGTCATTTTCTGGAAAGCTCTCCTCACTTTTTTACCCGACACTAGATGGCGCTAGTGCCAGACGTCAACTTAGGCGCGCAACAATATATAGTTATATAATATTTGGATCATACATCTGACATATTAAAATGCTTTACATAGAATATTTAATATTTTCGTCACCATCGGTCATTTCATGCTCAGCTGTATTAATGTTCAAATATGTAACGTAATTTAGATAAATAATGACCCTTACAGGGTACAAAATAAGTATCTGGGGACATTAAAAAGGATAAGAGAAGGAGAACACTTCTGGGCCAAGTTGTACCAAATGATGTGATGAATGAAGCGGGACCAATTTTTTAATTAAAAGTCATGAAATAATCCTCACTAACGCTATAGCTTAAATATATATAGTTTAATTTTATAGCAAGTACGTCACGACTAGGAAAAAATGTTAAACGATCCTTTTATTACATATTTTTGAGTATATCCATATATGTCTATTTTTTGGCATGCTCTGTAGCGTAAACGGCTCGAAGAAATTTAGCACATGGCGTGTCGTTAGATTCGTCTTAGTAGTGGAAGTGACATAAGGTATATTTTTTTTTCTTTTAAGTAAAATTATAAAATGCATAAGAATCTCCATCGTTTTAAGAAGAATGTGTGTGCTTGTGTACATGAGTGTGGAAATTTAAAATGCTGTGTTAGTCTCTACCTTAATATAAGGTAGTGGAAGCTGGGAGAGGCAGAAGAAGCACGAGTGTCATTGTGAAACGCGATCAATATGGAGTGTGTTAGAGCTGAGTCTGAATGACAGGGTGAGAAATTATGTGATAAGATAAAAATCTGGTTTGCGAGATAATGTTGGGACCAGGATTAAGAAAAATTTTTTTTGGTGGTTTCGTCACGTGGAAAGAATGAACGAGGCAAGAGTGACAAAGCCAATTTATGTTGCAGAAGTGAAAGGCAGAGTCGGAATAAACGTAGTTAAAGCTGTAATTCTATCTACATTACACCTCTAATTAAAAAAAATGATTATTTTTTGTCACCAATAGTTTTTCAAATCATTTTTAGCGAAACTTTTGTGATATAGGACAATGAGTTGGAGACCGTGATTAGTTATGTTTAGTTTATTGCACCCATCCCATCTCTGACTTGTAATGAAAGTTAGCGTTATAGTTACCGCCATGTGGTTTCTGTAAAATTTGTACCGAGTGTACGCCATTTTAGATCCTAAATTATTTTGCATTATGTTAGTTTACATTTATATTTAGAACTCATCATCCCTTCACAAATCTACTGCTGAACACCGGCCTCCCTAAAAGAATGCCACACAACCACGGTGAGCCACTTGCATCCATCGATTTCCTTCATGTTTTACCAGGTCCGACACTCGATCTAGTGGGGGGGGGGGGTCGCGCTATACTTTGCCTTCCGGTACGAGGCTGGCAATCGAGAACTTTTTTCCCCGGCGGTTGTCGGTTCTTCAGCTATATAACCGGCCAATTTCCACTTAATCTTACTAATCCGTTGGACTATGTTGGTCACATAGGTTCTACTGCGGATATCCTCATTTGCAATTTTATCAAAGATAAATTCCGATCTTAGCCTTTTCCATAGCTCGCCGCATATGCACAGCAGTGAAGGACAACGTCTCAAATTTATAAGTCATCACTGGAAATACGCACTGGTTGAAAAATCTCGTTTCCGGTTTTGAGATATACCTGACGCTGCCCAGTCGAGTTGAATCCATCGAATGACCTCTCAGTCGAAGTTGGACTTACCTAGTCGGACTATTTGTCCTGTGTAAATATACTCGTCAACAACTTTGAGCTAAGTCCTCCCAGCAACTACAGGCATAGGTGTGACATGGACGTTACTCATCATGATCTTTGCTTTGTCCATGTTCATCTTAAGACCTATGCGTTGGGTGACACTAATGACTCTTTGCAGTTGGGCAGGTTTCGTACTCTGGTTTTGTACTCGGATAGTCGTTGTAGCGCTACGGGCGAGTAGGTATGCAACCACAGTTTTTATTGTATTATTTTTGCTTTCAAAAAGATACAGGTGTGCATTTTCAGCCCTCGCTCCTCTGTCGCCTCTTACGAAACCCAATGGAATATATGGGGTAGCGGATATTTTTAACCGCACGGATATTCTTAATCTAGACGGCTAGAAGTAAATCTTTAATTTCAGTGTATTTTTGTACACTCATAAAAAAGTTTATAAACTTAAAGTTATTTAATTCTGCAATCAAAACGATTGAGCTAAGCCTGTTAATTTAATTAAAATTTAAAGTTTTGTTATCTTTTGACTTTACTTATTGGAACTCTGTATCGGCCAAATCTTTACGGTTTGGGAGAAATTTAAATTACATAGAAATGTGTTCAATATTGTGTTTCTATTCTGAAGAAGTAGACTTAGACTGGCAATCACCTACAGCTTGGCGAATTTGCAATTTTTTCATGACTTTAATCTAAATTTAGTGCTATATATGGGTTACCTGTTTCGACTATGATATTGGATATTTCAAGATATTGGATATATAAGATTTTTATAAATATTGCCAATTTTTTTTCTATTTTACTATTATTTTGTGATTGTGCATCTTGTTTTATTTTTACTATGATTTTTGTGTAGTGGATAAGTCGCTTTACTATTTTAAACACCAAGATCTTATGTAAATTACGTATACGATTGATAGTTGAAAAAATAAGTAAATTTTTACAAAGTAATTTTTTCTTTGAGGAATATTTAAAAAATCTGTAGCAGGTATGTTGCAGATGTAAATAAAAATATTTAACTTTCATAAGCTATAAAGGTATAACAGTCTCAGTTTTATTAGAATTCCTGGAAAAGACCTAGGATGAAAAGCTCACAGGAAGTAGTAAAAAATATCGGTGTTGGATGTTAAAAACACCAAGCCATTTTGGTGTTTTTGTGTTTAGTTTATTAGTCTACTTACGTGATTCGTACGTGATAGATGCGATACTCAGTGCTTTCTATTTCTTACTCAGCTTGGTTTGTATTTCTGGGCCGTTTTCTTTCTATTCGTAACTGTGCTCGCTAATTGGATTGATTTGTGCTTTTTTATGCTTTTTATATTTAACCGTTAAAGAAACAAAACAATAAATTAAAAGAAAAACTGCAAATAGCCGAAAATGAGATAGAAAATTTGTTACTCGAAAATTAAAACCTAAAAAAGCACTGTTAAGCCACGAGACAAAAACAAAATATTTGGAGAACATTTGTGTTTCGAACTCAAATAAAAAATATTACAATTAACAAAAACAGGAAAATAAAGATATAAATAGTTTGTTTGCAATCATCCGCTGAATAAAAATAAAATGAAGTGTTTTACCTAGTTTGAAGAGCACCTCCCGCCCTCCCTAAATTGCGTGCACTAATCCTGTCACCACTAATCCCAGCACCACTACTCCCAATACCACTACTCCAAACAGCACTATTCTAGAAAATACATACTATCGATGATAATACGATGCCTTTGTGAACGAGGGATATGCTGATATTTTGATTTGTTACGGATGCTGCAATTGTGTCTCCGCACGAGCTCGTGATGAATATATACCATGTTATCCTGGCTACCGAGTGCCAGATTTTAATGTGTTTGACAGAAATCGTCGACGACTTAGAGAGACTGGCTCTGCTTTAAGGCGACGAACAAACCTGCATAGACTTTGTGTCGTTGATGATGACAAAGAGCAAGACAATCAGATAGTTCGACGTTTAAGATTGGATCCAACTACTTCTACTAACATTACTACTTCTAATAACATTGTTGCCCGAGAACTTGGGACTCTCGCAGTGGAAAGTGTGGTTTACTATCTATACCGCGTGCCTATACGTATATCACTACACGCTTGTACAAGTAATCTAAGAAGAAGATCCTCTGAGGAGTTTCGATTTCTGCAAATTCATGATGAATGCAGAATTAAAAGAACCATGATCTTTGAGAAATATCTCATGGAGAGATGAGTCCAAATTTGATAAAGATGGTATAACCTCTCAGCAGTCCGGGCCAAAATAGCCGCTTTGGCGCATCTGTCAAACCCTAAACGAGTGATATATTGCCTACGTGGCGCGTGTTATAAAAATCGCAATATCTTAAAAACATGGGAAGTTTTAAAAACATAACTTTTTGTCACAATTCATTGGTCAAGAATAGAAATAAAAATAAGTATTGTTTGTCGTCGGTTGATAAAAGAAATGCTAATTATTAGATTTTGAAAAACACAGCAGCATAACAGTTTAAATATTATTTTATTGTGTGGATTTATACCACAATTTTTAAATGTTTCTTTTTATAAAAGTGTTTAATGTATTTTTACTAGTCCTAGCTATAATTTAATTTCTTTGTGACACTTACGGACGCTGTGTGAAGAAAATAAATATTAACTACGAGAGTCGATTTAGAAAATATTAAAATTATGTTATAGAGTACAATAGCTTTGCCACGTCCACGCACATAACAAACAAACAAGCACCAGTAGCGCGTTAGCACTGGAATTGATAGTTGTGTTTTATATTGGTAAATTAATATTCCGCCGTGAGTGACTTGTGTGAAATGACTTACCCAAACGAGGAGCATTTTAATATGTTGATGAGTCTCGGGAAATATGGCTGCAATTAT